TGTGACTTTAGCATAAGGCTACCATGTCGGTATCACCACTGTTGAGCGTAGTTGGTCGAGTTGTACCGATGAGGCAGCTTGGCAGACCGCAAGGCCAGAGCCTTGTAGTAGCTGTCCTGGAACTGTTGCCTCGTCGACTGGTCCATGAGCTCTCGTCGGGACAAGGTGCTACTGCCCTGCCGCGAGCCCTCCTCAGGCCGCGGCCCGCTCAGCTCCGACCCGCGGGTCTTCTGGTACCTGGACCCCGCGTCGTCCTTAGCCGTGTGCCGGGAGCTGGCGGACACGGTGGAGAAGTCGCTGTATGTGGAGGCTGTAGAAGACTGCCTGGTGGAAGGGTGAGATCTCCGCGACAACACGGCGCTCCGACGTACCTCCGGTCCAGACCCGTCTTGTCGCTGTCTCCACTGCGCTTCCTTCTCGTACGATGACATCCTCGTCTCCATATTCGGTACGGAAATAAAGGACAGGCTGGCGAGACTCGTGGTTACAGGATGCAGTCCACAGAAGAGTGGCGAGAAACAAGTACGAGAACGAGTGGCTCTTGAAGTCTGGAGAACTGCTACAGCGCACAGTTGTTCCCCCTTTTCAGTTGTCTTTTGTATACGGGTCAGAGGGCGTTGCCAGTCGCAACGACAGCCATTAGGAGACGCCATGTTGGGACACATGGGACCCGGGTATTGTTCTAAGGGCTCAGATTGCTTATCAATAAAGGAACTTACGTGGGCCAGTAGACACACATCATTTCTCAATGCCCTGTTCTGGCAGGGGTCATCAAACGTAGTTGCGTATTCAGGGTAACAAAGGATGTTTTGCACTATTGGGTACCCGTATAAACCACTATTTCATATTCAGTTACTGACGCAATCTCAGCTGTTAAAATATGACTAAACAATATCGGAATTCACGCGACACGAATATTGGTCTCCACGTACTTTTGACTAAGATTGTAGTTTCTCTACACGCCACTTGGGCGTCTACGCAAAATAGATTTGGTCACTGCACGTAACTTTATCTCAGATCAGTGCAAGTCCCGAAAGTTCTTTCAACTGCAGATCATTCTCTTCCTGCTAGGGGTCGCCTTTGTCTCGTTTCAAAAATACCGATTTACATGCCTGTATGCACAGCTTCATATTGTTTTGAAAAAGCATCCAGTATTTCTATGTCTTGACCTGCTGCACTATACCATATATGCCTTACATTTATCAACCTCAAAGAAATTGTTGAACATTATACTGCAGAAAAGTTTGAGCCAGTGTCATTCATGACCCAAGGTACATGCGGGAGGGAAGTATAGCAATCCACATATATTACATGCTCACAAGTCTTGAAGTCTCATGATGGAATAGTCAATTCTGCTGGGGTAATTTCCTATTTTCATATTCTGGCCTGTTAGTATAGCTAATTGGGTGTTTGATAACAACCAAGAAAGCTACTTGTAATGAATACATGTAATTTACAATGTTCATGTATCCAAATTTATGTTATTTGTCTCTTCGGTCTTAAAAAGGAACAAAAGCAAGACAAGATAATGCAAATTAGTCAGAAAGCTCCTGTTATACAGGACAGGAGCTTAAGTGTTGTCTGTCCTCGGGGCTGGGAGTGCCAAATCCCAAGTGCCGGAAAGATCGACTCGTAGCCCCCCCTTCTCTGTTGAGGGTGGGGTTGTACATTCTTTCATATATTGCCTCTTTAACACCCCGTTCCCACCAGCGTGTTTCACGGTCTAAGATATCCGTGGACTCGAGTTTGAAAGAGTGACCCTGGTTGTGTTGTAGGTGGTGGAAAATAGCTGAGGAGTAGCCGTTGGCACTAGGTCGGCAATGTTCTTTGTATCTTACTTTGAGCGGTCGACTTGTCTCTCCGATGTAGGTGTTGTTACAATTGGGCTCCTCACATTTGAGTCTGTAAATAACATTTGCCTTGGTACCTTTGTGAGGTCGGTCCTTAGGGTGTACCAGTCTTCGTCTGAGGGTTGAGTGAGATTTGAAGTTAACACTTAAGCTCCTGTTCTGTATAACAGGAGCTTTCTTACTAATTTGCATTATCTTGTCTTGAATTGTCTGACTTTTGTTCCTTTTTCGACTTCCAAAAATTTGTTACTTTATTTGCATATCAATCAATAGGTTGTGCTTATAAACCTGCATTTCCCCTCTGGTCTCTCAGTCAATGACGAAAGCTAGTGGATACTAGCTGAAACGTCTGATGTTTTCAAAATCATATCCAGTTGCTTGAGTAACTGCTTTTTGGCATATCGTATTACCTGGATGTCTAACCTTCATCGACGTAAGACATCAAATTATTTGAAAATTGAAAGTATTGCATAAAAAATGCCAGCAGGCCAAAGCCATGGATGCATTGTTAAGATGTTTGGTATGTGGTCAGGTCTTGAGAAAAAAGCTCAGGCTAGTGACTTTCTTTGTTATTACAGAAAAAGCCCAGCCCCCTATTTAGTATTTCACTGGGAATAAAGAATGGTTTTATATGAGTCTTACAGAGACAGTACCATCAACACAATTATAAAAGAAAAACAAACAGATGACTTCAAATGGACTTTTTATTGTCCAAAAGAGTTTCCTGGCAGGTCTTGTGGTTTGGACAGCATCTGGACTCACTAGGCATCCATTTTTCTGCAAAAAAAATCAACACAACACATATTAAAAGATAAAATCTCACTTCTGTACAGCATTGCTCATGAACTGTGGAGTTGTACAAGCTTTGTAAATTCCTTACAGCTGTCCATTGTCAGTGCAATGATACTCCATAGGAAAAGGAACCCTATGAAAAGAAACATATACTTACTAGTCATCTGGCCTATGAAGCACATCTGCCTTACTGTTTAAATCCATATTTCTATATTTAAGTGCAACCAATGTTTGTAACAGTTACCCTTAGAATACACAGGACTACTAGTGAATATGAACTTACGGGTCAATGATTTTATCCTTTACCGCCAGGCGCTTCAGGCAATCATCAGATTCTCCCTGTAACAAAGTCAGATCAAACGGATGATAGTCTTCACAATGTACAAGTAAACCAATGTATAATCTATCAAATGGTGGATGCCAGAAACACTCGAATGAAAGACAAGAATGCTACATTACAACATAGTGTGGAAATACATTACCATTTGCCTGATGTAGCCACAGATGGCGTACGTCTTGTACTGTCCAGTCATGCGGCCTGTGGTCGGGTCAACCTGTAAAATGAGGAAAGGAACCTGTGTCATTTGGGACTGAATTGCACTGCAATTTTCATTGGAACACCTAAACAGCATCATTCCAAGACCTCTGCAATGCCACAGACATTCAGAACCCTAAAATTGTTTTTACATTTATGTTTGACTGTGCCACACGTGTTTGACAGAACATGACACTACTTCAAGACTAACACTAAGTAACAGTTTCATCCCACCCACCTCAGCAAAGTTGATCTGGATGGAAGCATGATCCTTGGCACCGATGATGCGGTTGGTTGATGAGCTGTGGGATGATATAATAACATCCAATGAATAACAGTTTAGACATGCATGATCCTGTGCAGGACAATTGTTTGGCATCAAAATGGCAATACTGAATGATCTACTGCAACTCAATCCAGTAATGCCAGCTCACTAATGACTGAGAAATACACATAGGAAGTACTCATCAGTAGGCAACTCCATTTCAGGGCAGCTAGCATGACTAGGTTGACCTTATAATTAGACACATTGTTTCTGATATTGCCTGTTTCACATATGGTTTCTTTAGTTGAAATTATATTAAGTCCCCAGAACATGTTAAAAATTCAATTAAGTATCTAATTGTATTGAATATCTTAATTCTTAATATCCAGCTTTCTGGGCTATAGTTTTGATAAGCTATGACTCACCACTTGCGAGGGATGTACAGATCCACAACTTCACCTGCGTCGTTCTGCATGATGGCTGTCGGTTCTCTATGGGCTTCTACAGCTCACTGTTTGCACAAACGAAAATAGATAAACACAAAATTATTATCATCAACAGTAAGTCAGGTCAAAGCACAGATGGCAAAAGTGATCTTGGGTACTTCAAGACTCCATTGGATACTTCTGTCCTTGACTATACATAACTCTGATATGAAGCAGATTCGATTGTCAGCTTTCAAGAAACTTCATCCAGTTCATAATTTCAGGCCAGGCATAATTATTCCCCATACATAAATACTATTATACAAGCATAAAACTCATGTGGAACAGGACCATGTACAAATCTTTACTACAGTCTCCTACTACTCACTAGTGCTAGGGCTAAGGCTGCAATAAAAAAGAAGCTTCTACACAGCAACCAAAATTGGAGACAACTCTAAGCATGCAAAACCCCCAATTTGTATCCACCTCTTTTTAATAGTTTTATACGTGGAAAAAAGGTTCGTGTCGATGTCGTGCCCCCCTCCCCACATCTTTCAGAGCATGACGATTTTTGTCCATTTATTGTCGCTTTTTATCTTAAGCGGTGCAAAATATCACAACAGTGTTGTCTTGAGATTTAGCAGACCATTTTTACTGGGTTAACTTGGATCAACTTGGGCGGATGAACCCACATAAAGGGAAAACTTTCAGCACGAAAACTTACATGTGCTTCCCAAAGATGGCGGACAGCGAAAGAGGCGGAACAGAGGGCATTCTGGGAAATATTTCCTCTCGGGAACATTATTAGGAGGAACGATTTTTAACTGGCTGCCTTCTTTTAAGAAAATAAAGATTTACGTACATCACTAAAGCAAGACAACGCTTACAAAACAAAATATTTGATGCTTAAAAATAAATAATTTCTGATATTTTGGAAGAAGTTTTGTTAGTTGGTCTAAAATTTTGTCTGTATGATGATTTATAAAGAACCTTTACTGTAAATCATTCCTGTATGAGAGGGTCAGTGATCCGAACACACCTCTCGTTCCCGGCGTACTCAGACATTAGCTGTTCTCGCACAGTGGAGTCAGGACGTGTGTGTCGTTCGGCAGAAAAAAAGTCCCTAATATTTTTTGGTGAGTACGTCATTATTTGTCTGGATATTACCCATAATTGTGTACTAGGGGGTAGGTCATCCAATCAGTATATCAGCGTCGTCATATGGCGTTAAACAGGTCTGTAACAAATCGCCAAAGTGACACGATACACAAGTGGGTTGGGAGGCCGGTGTGTACAAACACTGTAACTGCTGAGCGGCAAAACTCGGCCAGTAGATCAGATGTCCGCAACGTATTTCATAGTCATTCAATAACGTAGAATATCTGTAGCTGTGGTGAGACTTAATGTGGTGTTGCACTGTCAAAAATAACCCGTTTTTAATTGGGGTATAACAAAATCAAAAAAGAGTGAAAACTAGACAAGAGAGACAGGAGGTTTTTTAACTATTTTCTTTTTTTTTCAACTAGCGGACGAACAGATTGTGTGTTTGCTGATATACAGGAGTGCGTCAGAAAAGTCGTCTTTCTGGTTTTGTAACCTGGGTTAGGTTGTTGGCGGGGGGGGCTTTTAGATCGCAAAACTGCTTGTGTCCTACTTGTCATGTGTCTTAAGTTTACTAGAAATGCTACAGTGTGAGAAAACACCGATTTATATCTGTTCAGGACGTTATTTGTTATTACCAGGAGGTCCTAAACTGCCAGCACTCTTAAGAACCCCGCTATGTTTTGTATTATGATAATGTTGCAGTGTGATTAATCAGTGCCATTTGTGCTAACCGTGGTCCTTTTGAAAAAAACTCTGATCTCATCCAAGAACAATACATCAAACAGGGTGCCTCTCCAAAAATGGAGAACTGTACCCTTGTGAATTCAGGAAAGCGAAAGCTGCCTCTTGAGATTAACATACCTCAATGGCTTTTTTTGGTGGAAATTTTCAAGGACCAACCCATGTTGCTATGCAATACAGTTGCAGTGGTCTTCAAATCAGTAAGGTGGTCAGGCACATACTAAAATTTAATTTGATGTTAGATGTATCATAATGTCTTTTGGTGTGTAAAACATTATCGTTGTCATTACTGCGACGTGTAAAATGAATAATGTGATAGATACATCACAGGGGAATTAAAGAAATGTTTTTAGCAATCCCCCTGCCATACTTTAATGCCTTTGCCCAAATTTGCAGAGGGAACAAATGCAAGCAAGCATGAAATGGAAACTTTTGGCCAGATGAGCCCCCATCAGAAGCCCTAAGGCACAGCAGGCTGTACCCCCTCCTTTTGCACATGGTGTGCTGTGTTCAAGTCGGAAAAGTTGCAAGAAAAATATGATAAAAGAAAGTTTGACACATTTCTTGAATTTTTGACTAGTTGACAAAACACGGATTTGATAGTGATCAGCTCTCCATATCCTGCTTGTTTCTTGAAAAAAAAAAAAACTTCCCTAGGGCTATATCATATCCTGTTGTCCTGTACTGTACTGTAGTGTACATTATGCTAGGAAGCCAAGGCCCAGCTTTCAAAGGTATTTCCCATGACAAAGGATGTGGCTTACTTTTTGGCTGAATTTCATGATTGCAACACTCAGTGACATTACCTGGATGTACCAGAGACAACATTTTTTAATGTGTTCTTCCTGATACTAGTCATAGTCACAAAGAATGTTTTCTGTTAGGCTCATCATGACGTTGATGCCTGAAAACCAACTGTATATCATACACTATATGGAAATTGGGAAAATGACATCTTAGGGAAAAGGCTTACCAAAAGAAACATTTGCTTGTTACCAGCATTTCCATTACCCCATGCGTCTTTCACTTTCAGATCTATAACCTCTCCCCCACGTTCTACACATGGATCAAATTCTGACCCAGACATGTAGGAGTAGGTTACTAATGTTATTGCAGTTGTACCACCATATGTTAGAACAGTGCAGAATCTAACTATGGATATAACTTTACAAGTTAGGACATTCATTTTCAACCTTATACTAGTAGCTAACAGGAAATGACACCAAAGGTTGGAGACCTGGAAGTGAAGTGTAATTAACTGTGTCCTGTATGCATGACTCCTGAAATGACGCTGACCAAACATCTGTACTTGATTGTGCACCCAGGAAGGGAGTAGTAGGAAGTGATAAAGTACCCTGAGGGGGTAGGACTAATGTCAACATTGAACTTGGCTGAACTATCACAGTAAATCCTGGTCCAATCCTAGATTTCTGAACATATGGTCCTGATTTTCATGGGCCACGTTGCAGTACAGACTGTATATTGTTAGTAGGACCTATACACGTTTTATAGACCCTGGCATGTGCAGTGTGAAAGATCTGTGTTCTGTTGATACAAGTTTGAGATGGGCTAATGCCAGAAAATGACCTTGTCATGTCAAGTTTAGCCGCTTAGTTTATTGTATGATTTCATCCCCATGGGAATTCTGTAACAAAATGAGATAGTATTACTGTAAGTGCAGCACTTGCTCAAGTAAGATATGTATGGCAAGAGTTGTTGGTAGGCATTTTGTGGTGCCTCAACACACCTTTTGTGCCAAGAATGTCTAAGCTCTATATCAGTGTAATCAGGTAAACAGAACCCCTGAAGCAGACCCCTCACCTGTCAGGTTTCCTGTTAATTACACAGGTAATCAATAATAATACATGCCAGGTGGGGTAACATCCAAAAAGACACACGCCCGTATCCCCCAGGCAGTATGAGTTCTTGTAAACAATTGGAATCATTTAGACTACAGTTACGTTTGTCAGAGTACAACTTAAGATTGTCTCATTCTTCCGAAAGAAAACTGCCAGAGTCAAGGACTTTTATTATGATTTAGTGTATGGGTAAAGCAAAGTTTGTCCTCATAACAAGACCATAAAACAGTGTCCAGTCTAGAAGTTGAACAGGAAAGAAAATCGACAAGCTAGTCGTATTTAGCCTAATTCTGCTAGGTGACACAGGATTTTGTAATTAGAGAAACCAAGGCTTGGTATGACTAAACATAGTTGGGGTTGCTGAGTGAAGCTCACATTTCTGAAGTGGAACTCTACCCTGGACACCCCTATGGAAGAGGCCTGAGTCCAGCCAACCAAGTCTGCCACGCTTGACCAGCTGCACCCCCCTGGTACTGTAAATCACAATCTTTTTGCGGTACTTTTATAGTCCCGTTTTTCGTGGTCAGTTCTTAAGTTATCATTACCATGAACAAATGATTCGTCAACTTTCTTTTTGCTGCACCTTCCGCCACAGCGAACGTATAGTTCTGCAAATATGTCCATTTTTCTGAGACCGCGAACTTTTGCTACCGCAAACATTAAGTGATTTACAGTATCCTCCACCATGCAGACAGCCCTTTGTCATGTTTATCACTCTGACGTCAGACCACTTTCTACCTCAGAAATCCCCACTGGAATGTGTGTAGACAATACGGCTAAGGAAGTATCCCGATGGTCAAGCATGATTCACCTATGACAGGTTCCTGTAAAAATAATGATATCCTGCGGCTACCAGGTAGGTTCTACCTAACCAGACAGGTGAAACAAGACTCTCAGGTGTGTTCTGTCATCGGTTGGAGGTAGCCAACTCTCAGATAACAGGCCTGTCAGTTTACTAGTTTGTTTGGGGTTTGATTACTCGGTGTAAGGTTCTATTTGTCCAGTGTAAGACTTGAGATCGCATTCCATTTAAAAGATTAGACAATGAAAAACTGGTGGCCAACTTGGATGGATTGGAAACATTATGAGCTGTTATTGGTACCATAGTCATACTCACAGATAATATAGATACACAACAATGAGAGTGTCCATTGTTATGTTAGGATGATGCATGTTCAAATACTTTGAATGGGGTGAGCTTAGCCTTTGAATACCAAGTTTTGACAGTGCGAAAGCCGGCTGTCTTTTCATAGTTTGTCTCTTCAGCTTATGGTTTTTGTTTCCTGCTGTCACCCCCCAAAAATGTGTGACAGACAAGAAGCGTCCCCTTTTATGTGATATAATGATAGTTTAGATCTGTTTATGAATCATCTGTAGCCTTAAAAGAGGGGAGCAGTTGTCTGCTCTTTCAACCCTCTGTTCGTCCGTTAGTCTGATTGCACAGTGTGTGTCTTTGTTTAGACCGACTCTTTCGTAACCTGTAATTTTGTTGCAAATGGAACAATGACAGATTGTTGGTTACACAGAGGCTTAGAGAGATGTACTTATTGTCAGAAAGGCTCAGACAATAACTATGATTTGTCTGTTACTTTGTGAACCTTGAAATGACTTTGAATTCCTAGGAGAGGCTAAAAATAGTCTAGGGGAAATGGCTGCTCATGTAAATGTAATATAGGTGTCTTTTTTACTCTTATAGCAAAATCTAGAGATTATTCTTCCATTTGTTCACATTTACTGCTTTCTTTTTGTGTAAGCATTGATTACATTTTTTTATCTCGAGAAAAACAGGTTGCATGGTTGGGATTCCCTAGTAATTGAAATGTTGAGATTCCTCACTGTTTGAGGTCTTTTCTTGCTGAATGGTTCATGTGTAATTTGAACAGGCACTACTGGAATGATGCTGTTGAAAAAACAGCAAGGAAATTATAAAAGGTCTGAGCTTTGTAATATATCGTATACTAACAGATGCTAAAACAGGTGGATAGCAGTTCTCATGACTATGATAACAATTTTATAATCCTACTTTCTGTCCATAATACTCCATTGTATCTACTAGTAATTTGTGTTTGGCTTGATGGTATTGATATGCAGTGCTAATTCGGTTGACACTGGATTATCAAATCAACATACAGGTGCTAATTGCTTGTCGTGTAGTTGCTAATTCACAGGCCTTTGTGTGTGTCTGCTGCCATTGTTTGTGCCTTTTTTGCATGGGAACGAGCCGTGGCATTGCCGGCCTTTCATAGGTGTCACTTCACAGGTTTTCAACGACATAACGGTAAACTTGCATTGTGCTATTGTTTGGGTCAGGTAAGCCAATCAGATTGTAGCAGTCAATAGGTGGGATATCGTATTCATTTTGCCATGGTGAGAATGCAACCTGAGTGGGGGTGTGGGGGAAGAATTCCTCAAGCTTGGGACAACACAACAACAAAAAGAAAGACAGGAAATGAGTAAATACGAAAGAACAAGACAAATTACTGCACTTAAGTATACGGCGTTCCAAATGTAAGGAAAATGTAAGGGGTAGAATAACTTGGATCAAAAATTTCTGATGACTCTCTCCCCATGTGTGAGTGGTCCAACCCACTCATTTATTATGTATAATGCCATGCCCAAACAATGACCGCGTGTTTATTGACTTTTATTTGTTCCTTCCATGTGCAGCAGTTAGACGGGCCAGGCAGGAGTGGACTTAGCCCTTGTGCCGGAGATGGCTTTGTAAACACTCGCACGACGGTTACCGTTAAAATGTTCAACATTTGAACCTGTGGGACGCAGAGGAAACAGCATGGCTGCCCTGACTGTTCCATTCTCTCTGAGCAAGTCTCCACTCAAGATTCTCAACCGTGGGCCTGACTTTTTCCGCGAGCAGGCCCTCAGCAATAACAAGAAGGAGTCCCGTCAGGGGAAGTCTGCACGGGAGCTGCTGGAAGAAACAAAGGGAAAGTATGTGAAGAGTGTGAAAGTACGGGTGCAGAAACAAGAACCTGCAACCACCAAAAATCCGCATGCCAAGCCGAAGGTCAAGAACAAGCCAAACGCATCGTGGCCCCCTGCGAAAAAGTCGGAAAGTAAGCCCGAAGTGCCACCAAAACCCATCTCGATTCTGACGAAGAACGAGGTATCTACCTCGGTACCTGACATGAAGCGACCGAGCCCCAGCAAAAGTGAGACATCATGCTCCATGCCAGACTTATTGAAACATTCGCAGCAAGTTGACCAAAACAGCAATACCATAATTGACACTTCTGACAGCTCCCAGGCCAAGAGGTCAAGCACAGAGACACAGGATTCTTCAGATGCAGAGGAGGCAAAAAGCAGTGAATTCTTACAGACTTGTACAGCAGAGGAGCTTCTTTCTAACACCCAGAACTCTTTGAAGCACGTGGGATTCCCTCTGCTGAGAAGCTTCAAACTGAACCCGACAAAAAAGCACAAACAGCAGGAGAGTTGTAGAGAAAGGCTTCGGACACGCAGTTTCTCAGGGTCCTCCCAGAAAAGTGGCAGCCTTCGACGATCCAAGTCAGATGTGGGACACAGGTTCCCACAAACACAAGCAGACATTGACAAGTTTTTCAACACCCTAGGGTTTGACAAGGGAGTCTCCTCACCACTGAAACGGGCACAGGACACTCTGTTCACGAACAGCCAGTTTTTCAGTGACTCGAACTCTGTGAGCATATCGGTCAGTGAGGATCGGGACTCCGCTGACCGGCCGGACGGTGAGGAGGGAGACATGGACCGCATCCCTGAAGGGCCGTCTGTGATCGAGAGAAATGCCAGAATCATCAAGTGGATGTATCACTGCAAGAAGGAGAGAGAGCACAGACCCACAAGTGGGGTCACAGACTTGTGAGGTGAGTTCTATAGTATACTGTGTATATATAGTAAACTATTTTAAAACCTGTTGTGTGTGCATCCTAAAGAAATTGCTCTGACTAAAAATAACCTATCAGTTCTCGATCCTAGACTTAATGAAAAAGGCTGGGGTTAAATTATGGGGACATTGATGAAAGGTAAATGGGCTTCTAGAAATGTGAATTTATTTATTCATCTTCAAAAATGTGTTTTCAGTTGATCTGTTTTTACATTGCTGTTAAATAGTGTTTTGTGGAAGCCATGCATTTGTCATATTTGTAAACACAGGAGGTGACTTGGTGCAGTGTATTATGAGGACTGAATGCAAAATTTTCTTTGAAGTTTGCTTCTGAATGCTGTTTTTCTTATGTCTTTATTGAAATCAACACAACAAAAGGATTTATTCTATAAACTGGGCAGGGCAGGACGAATTTAAAGCATTCCCTTTTTTCTCCTTTTGTCGTTGAGTAACAAAAGTAAAATTCATTGGTGTATTGAGCCTTTTATATGTGGTCTGCTGAAAGGTATACCAGAACAGATTTATAATGTTCACCCTCAATGTGTAAGTTCATCTGTTCAGTGTCTAAGCTCCACTTCAAAAATGTGTCATCTGTTCATTGACCAGCAATTTGCTTTCAAAGCAGTTTTTGGCCCCAACTACTAGCCTAGTCAAAACACTGTTCAGTACATCCAGGATCCTCTTTCATTTTTGCACCAACAAAAACAAAAACTGTGCCCTGAGGATGATGACAAATTTGTCATGTAGCAAACCTGTCACCACTCAGACGTTCCTAATTAAGCGTAACCCAGGTATTACATGCAGCTTACAACCCATTCTTCCAGGAATTAATAAGAGTATTGCTGACTTGTTCATTTCTCACTCCCATTGTTTTATTCCTTTTCTGTCCTACAGTGTGGGTGCCCCCTAACCATGCTCACCTGTGCTTGATAAATCATAGTCACAATTATAAGAAGAAAAAATGCAGGCAGCTGTGTCTGAAAAGTCAAAGTGGTTCCTTCAGAGTTACGCAGTGTACACCATTCTGTACCTGATTTCACCAAGGTCAAGTCCCAAATCTTAATACCCCCTGTAGGGTAGAGCCTATGGACCAAGTCCTCAAGCTTGATGCAATCCAGTTTGGAATCATCAGAAAGAGCCTTGAATTTCAAATTTCATTGTAGTTGATCAGATCCACAATTAAGAATTTAAGACTGCCAGCATGAGGCTGTGTTATTGAAGAACCTTTAAAATGAACTATTTTTGTTAGGTTATACAATCATTATGTTTCATTAACAATTGGATTTAACTTCATTGAGAGTAGAAGGAGATGAATTGCCAACAGATGTGAGAAAAGCCAGACATCCTGGGAACATATTACTTCACTTAGAGGCAATTTTCTGGGAATTAAAACTGCCCAAAGCTACTGCCATGAGAACTCTGTGAAGACTCAAATGTGGGACACCATCTGGTTTTCCTAATGTAGAGTGTGTGCTCAGTATCAGATCAGGATATTGCTCAATTATTAACCTTCCCCAGGGAGGTTATCATTGCTTTTTGGTTGCAAGCATGGTCATGTTTGTGGTTTTGTTTTGTTTTATTTTGTTGTGGATGAATAGCATACTAGTAACTCCAGCTGTGGATGGATTGTTATCTTGCCATTGGTATGTGGTTAGGACTTGACCTTAGGTCTTGGGCATTTTACAGTAAGCCTTTAGCAAGAGGTCATGATAAAAACAGTGCCGATATTGATTATGAAAAACTTTACTTTGGCAACGAACACTTCTCAGATCACGAGGATAACTACATTTAAAAATACATGCCTGTTTCCACTATTGATTCAGTGTCTCTAGAAAACCCTTACAGACCCATTAAACTACACCAAGTCTGAACAATGATCTGGAGAAGTCATCAGCCAGGTGTAGGGGAGACAGGGGAGAAAATATGCCATAGTTCTGATCCCTTCAGACTGACTGACTTCCTGTACCAGCCAACCCTGGGTCTTACCTAAGGGCACAGGAGTCTGATCAATGTGGAAAGTCAATTTAGCCTAGGCGATCGGTGCGAAAATTGCTCAAATGGTGATAAAAGCATGAAACTTGGCACAAATGTTCTACACGACACTAGAAACAATTTCAGGGGTGGAGCCATCGCGAACTGTCCTTTGCCTAGCAACGGTTGCTAGGCAACATGCTTTTCCAAGAAAACGATGTATTAGGAAGCTAGTACCTGCTAATTGTTCCTGAAATCCAATTATAATGTGAAAAAAATGAGGTGTATTACTGTATCTGACATCACTTTTTATATCAAAATAAATTTTGAGCCGTTGTAAAGCACAATGTGCATCGAAAAGCTGATAATTTTTGGAATTTTTGATAGAAAAGTGTAGAAATTAAATTTTATAATCATGTATATCTTCCCGTTACCTATGGGGCCTTGAAATATATATTTGATTGATAGAGCTGAACATTCTCTGAATGGTAAACTTTAAATTTCAAAAATCCATCAGTTCTATCAGGAGATATAAGTGTTTGAAGAATAACACATCCACAGACTTAAATCAGTAGATTGGTTGCTATGGCCGTTGCTAGGGACGGCTTGGGCTGTGGTCTGCACGGGAATAGATGCTAAAATTTTATTTTTCTGCCAGCTTTTGCGTTGTTTGTGTGTACAGAAATGCAGGTAAGAGATGCCTGGTGTCTGCATATAAAAATGACGCAATATTTCTCTCTTACAAGAGGATTTTTACAAAAACTTTATAGAAGCGCTGTAAGGTTGTTGGTAAGAACGCGTTTGGCGTACTCACAACACGTTGTACTTGTAGTCCATGGGCCAGAGGAGATATCGGTACCACCTGAGGTGGCACATTCTCATCATGGTTTTTGAAAAGAAGGGTGTCTGTGGAATATTTTTTGATATGATAGCCGTTGCACATTGGTAGCTTTGACCTTGCTATCTGACCTTGAACTTTGACCTCATATGAACCGCTTCCTTTTGCACTTATAATGCAAAGGGGAGTGGCAAATAATCAAATATGGATATTTTTCAGTATAACTTTATAGACTGATAAAACAGGAACCAAGGATTACAAAAATGTTAATTTTGTTTCAATATGTCACTTCTACAAGAAGTTATGATTTCGAAATTCGAATTTTTGGTAAAAATTGGTAAAAAAATAGAATGTTTACTTTTCAAAACCTGTAAAATATTCAGATTACATATTTGAGCCTGCTGCATGCATTCATCTGACTTTTTGTATCATTTCCTACATTTCAAGCTTTAAATCATAAAAATCCGTCTATTCTATCCGGAAATATGAGTGTCTAAAAGTTCTATCCTTAAAGGCCTTCTGTGGGGAAAACCGTTGCTAGGGCCGTTGCTAAGGAGGCACTTGGCTGCTTTCCTAGCAAAATGGAGTGCACACCATATGGAAAACTTGAAGAAAACTCCTAATGGAGGAAAATTATTAATTTAAAGGGCCTTGGAAATCTATATTATGTTTCTATGGTAACCGTTACTAGGGAAAATATACCCCCCTAGCAACGCAGGAGATAGTACTTTTAAATGGTTTCATAAATGGCAATAGAGGGAGACTTGTGGGGAAATGTCTATTTCCTGACCATTTTGAGTGAAGTATCTTAATGTATGCATGGAGGAATCTCATTTTGTCTCCAGTTTTGTGGCATTTGGAGCTATTTTTAACTAAAAATGTAGATTTTTGGCTCCTGTTACACAACAGTTAAAGAAATTTTGCCGAGATTCGGTACAGACATGTAATTTAATAACTGCCACGGCAGCCAAGCATTGGATGCTGATTACTTCGTTGTTCTGAATACAAAATGGAATTTTTTTGTTATTTCTGCCCAGAAATGTACATTTCTGGCTCATGCGTGACAAATTTACCATCAGCAGGTGACATATTCAATCTTACACGTACGATGTAGAATACTCCATTGCTGTCGAAAGTCAAATTCATGAATTTGAAAATGCTTTCACTACTAAGTTGATTAATTTACTTCAAAAGTCTGATAGAGCTTACATAAATCACAGTGCTTAGTAAAAATTAAATAAAAATAGATATGTACGAGGCGGGGGGTCATACCTAACATCATACACTCTTTCACGTGCTCAAACTCACGACGCTTCATCGCTAGTTGTCGTATGAGAGTGGTCAACTTTTGATGATGAAGTTTGAAAACATTTAATGACATGTTAAGAAAATACATGTTTGTACTTAGATAAGATTTAGATTACATTAGATTAGATAAGAATAAATTATTAATACTGAATATGAGTCCTTCACGAGCAAACACTGTGAATGTGCACTTCTGTAATTTGCTCTAATCTGATAGTGTTGTGGATGCTACTCTATCTAGGACTTGGGGAAAACATTCATTAGCAGATGTCCTAATGCATTCAGAGAAAATGCCCAAGCTGATATCTTGACATATTTTGATGTAAATCTTGATATATGGTTGTATGGGTTGACTTCGAGATCTTGTTAAATGCTAACCTTGATAAAGATGTAATTGAATCTTGGTTTGTTTCAACAATCCGTGCTATCCCCATGCCAACTATTTGGTCATTGGGTCGTAATAAAGTTGCACAAACTAATTTAGAAAAATCCATTTTGGCTATTTTATCTAAAATAAGCTAAATAATAGGATTCTGAATGCCTGTACCTAATAAAAGTGCCCCGAAGCTATCCCCCTGCCCATCTATGCCCAATTTCAATTGACAAGACTATAATACAGTGGGTCAGAAGCCAATTATACACATTTTTGGTTATTTTTTACGAAAAAAGCTAAATAATGGAATTTTTCAAGTCTGCATCGAAAACATGAAACTTAGTGCATAGTGCCAAGCTATCCCCATACAGAAACTTGGGTTATTTGGCCGTCATATAGTTGTACAGAAGCCAATGATATACATTTTTGCTTATTTTTACCCAAAATAAGCTAAATCATAAAAATTTTCAGGCATGAATCTAAAACATAAAAT